ACACGAAAGAATTGAACTTTCACTGCCGCCCGTCTCTTTCGATTATCTTTATTTATTGTCTTGATCGAAACGAACCTGAACGGATTGTCCTCTGCCCCACACGATAATCGCTGGCGCGCATCCACCGCGCGTCATAATGAATATACCATCGTCGGCCAACCAGTCCTTACTATTAGCGCTAGAAACGTCCATCGTAATTCTTTTTAAACTGTTCAATAGGAAAGGTATATCAGCAACATCATCGTATTTCACGTTCAATGCCTGAGCTAGCGCGATCATTTCCCTCGCGTTGCCGAACACGATCTTAGCGTGACCGACCATTTCGCAAATGGCCGCTTGATGATCCTTTAAAAGCATTAAAAAAGCTCAAGTAAACAAATAATATATTTGTTATTTCAATTTACATAAATCAATAATTAAATTAATTGGTATTAATTTGATACATGCCTCATATGATATGTTGATTATATTATTTAACATTAATAATATTTTATAACTCTCACATACCTGGAATATATTTAAAGAATTAAGATTGAACGCTACAATAATATTCTTCTCCTGCGCCCGCTTGACCAATTCCTTGGCCACGTCTAAACTGTGCCTTACGAAATAGCCTTCGATGTAAATTATTTTAATACTATCTAATTGCAGATTAGCCTTTTTAAAATCATCCAACGTATATACACCAGCTGCACCAAGATTAGTGACGAGACTGCGGAATGTATTGTACACAAGAGAAACGCATAATCCAGTAGGCAAAGTCGGATGTATGACGTATCTAATAAAACAATTATAATAGTATACGATTGTAAATTTGTTATATTTTCTGTAAAATTAATAACGCTTCTTATGTGTATTACCAACCTTGTGTCTACTCTTGCAAGTCGAACTAATTTTTCTAAGATCGAACCTCTTTGATCATTTCCGAGACTTCCACAGAAGATACTGATTTGGGACTCGTGGGTCTCATCACATAGCCACTGCATGATTCTCATTGTATTCTGTGCAGATCCTCCGGGATTTGTATATTGTTCTGTCCTGTAGCGTATAAATTTTTCATATTTAATAAAAATTGAATACATGTATATAGAATAGCTACTAAGTATTCTAAAAAATTTTAAGGCGTGATCTTAAGGAGGAATTTCTCACATAAATTCAAGACAAAAACTTCATATTTTTATTATTTTAATAAATTATTTTAATGAAACTTTGTATATGTTTAAAATTTCATCAAAATAATTCGAACAATTCCTGAAATTTTTGGAAAAAATAAAATTTTTCTTTCAACTTTGACACTCTG